GGTTCTAGATTAGGTAATTATATCCCATTCATTATCTCCATATGCGCATTGGCTGGACCAATCTGGAATCTATGCTTTTTAACGGTGTTTGAGAATAAAATACAACACTTATAAGATGGTCGTTCATGTCAGTTTTTGTTACTGTTTAAATGTTATTTGGCAAACAATTTTTGGGAATTCAGTATTTCCCCATTCAAGTAGATGCAAGCTGGTCTTGATGTATGTCCAAAACAGCTGCCAGGTGAACTGACTTTCCTTGAACATCGATTCATGCATGCTATCAAATGGAGTATATTTCGAAAGGTTATGCATTCAGTACGCATAAACTAGCATTCACATCAAAACTGAAGTATACTGTGGGCTTTATAGTATGTACAGTACATAGATGGTACAGCCCCCCATTTTGGTTAACGAAAGTTAGTTTTTTCCAGATTTGTCTGTGTTCAATGGCAATTATTTGATTCCAACTGTGAGTGAAATCATAATTACATCCCTGGGCAATAAAGCCTCCCCTCCAGCAATATGTCACTCACATGAGATCACAGCAATTAGCAAAACACAATGATCCAATCAATTCCAGAAGGACAAATGAAGTCCCACCCTACAATTTTTTTATTCAAGAAGCCATTTCACTCAGATATACATTATCACAATAGGGAAGAAAATATGATCGCAATTTTCATTTCATAGAGACTGTAAGGGAAAAAAAATCCATCCAAGATGGACAAAAAATTCAGCTTCAAATAATAATGAAATATTCAATTAATTAAAATTGACTATTTAAATGAGTATGTATTTTTATATAATTTTATATGTCAAAATATCGCAACATGCTAAAGCCAGGTTAGAGCACAAAAGTCGGGTTCTAGATTAGGTAATTATATCCCATTCATTATCTCCATAGTGAAATAGATTTTTTCTCAACGCTCATGAGCTCTGAGGCTGTTAAGTGATGGTATATATATGCTTCTTCATTTTGCATACAATACTGAAAATCCTTAAGACTATGCCAAGAGCAAAAATAGCAGATTTTAAATTGCATACTTATGGCCACTGAGATGAATGAGAATGCTAATGAATCGCTTTCTTCAGCTATCACAGACCTCCTTGGAGTCAAGTCTTCTGTGTGCTTCATGTAAGGAGCATTATAATAACAGAGTCACTGTCTGTGTACAACATTCCAAATCAAATCAAATCACTCATGCGGATGCTGCCTATATGGGTAGTAAACAGCAAGGCAGCTCACTAGGTTTCGAAGCAGTACCTGTCACTCTACACTATACAGCCGTCTAACAAAACCAGCTAATTCTCAAAAGTGGAAAAATTTACTTTCACACATTCACTATAAAATCATACACAGTGTCTAGTGTGTTGCTTTTAGCTCAAGATAAATCAAAAGATTGCTTGACAGGGATACTATCACAGTTGTAGTTGTTCACCCTCTCTCTTCACGTAGTGCCACAGTATGTGGTTTATTATGCAGTAAGTTCCAATCATGGTTAGAGGAGGCTGATACTGCCACTCTCCTCAATACGCTTTTCATGCTCCCCTCCCTTCTAGGCTGGTAATCTACATATAAAACAGGGCAGGCTTTGGCAAGCCAAGCACAGACATAAGTGTGAAGTGATCCCCGCTTAACTCTTTCATCTGATGGTTAATTAGCGTGTGGAAGCGGCTTAATGCCGCAGCGTCAGCCAAGGGAACTCACCCACTAATCCCTGACACAAATCGCATTTTCTTCAGGGAGAGATCACCTGTGTCACTGCAGCCCAAACATCTCACTCTTTCTCACACAATCACACGTATAAACTTGACTATGAGCAAGCCTTTTTTCCCCGCATGCAGTGAGAATGGTGTCATTGATGAAACCCTCTGTTGCCAACCGCTGGAGTCTCTCCAGCACCTAATGTCTAATTCATGACGTCCATCTTAAACCGGCCCAGTTCCAAACACAAGTACCTTCTGCCTTACGGCTGCAAATCTCATCCAATGAACAGAGTATTCACTACAGCTTTTATTTATATCCTTCACAGTACGCAATGGAGTGAAAGAAAGAGCACGAAGAAAGACATTTCATATTAGTTTGATCAAGAATTTGGCAATTTTATGGACGTTAAGTGCCGGTTTTACTTGTCAGCCCCCATGAAATTAAGTATATTGTGATTTCTATGGAGCCGAATGCTACATTTTGTTTCCCATCATAAACGGCATCATGAATAAATTATGCAAAACAATGCCTCACTGTTTTTGTTTTTACCATTTACCTCATTATGTGCATGATGTTGTCGTGTTTGTAATTTTCTTTGAGTTGTGTGTTAAGGTGTTAAAGACATGTTTTGTGTGAGAAACGTTACAGGAATAGTTCAAAATGAGTCTAAAAATAAAATGTGCTCAAAATGTACTCACCCTCAGGCCATCCAAGATGTAGATGAGCTTGTTTCTTCATCAGAACAGATTTGTAAGAATTTAGCATTACATCACTTGCACACCAGTGGATCCTCTGCACTGAATGGGTGCCATCAAAATGAGCGTGCAAACAGCTGGTAAAAACATCACAACAATCTAAAAGTAATCCACACGACTCCACGTCATCAATTAATGACTTTGAATGGAAAATCTGCGTGTTTGTAAATAACAAAACCATTAATGAAGGTTAATTCATTTTAACTATAAACCACCACATCTGGACAAAATACGAGTCTATAATCAATAATAACATTTACTCCAATGAAAAAGTCCATTCCCTGTTCTCCTCTCACAACAAAAACCACGATATATGTGTCTAGAACGGTTTTTGCTTTTAAACAGTGCTTTTTCTGTGTGTGCGTGTGTGTGTGTGTATACAGATTTCCCCACATAAAGTTTCGCAAGTCCTGAAAGTAGACAAAGAGAACCCAATCAAACAAATGAGACAAATATTTTCTTTGCCATTTATTATTCTGGAAAATGATTCAATATTACATGTGAGTGGCTAAAGTTTGTGAATCTCTAGGATTAGGAGTCAATTTGAAGGTGAAATTAGAGTCCATATGTTCAGAGGTGTTTTTAATCAATGGGTGTCAGTGCGTGCCGTTTTATTGAGAGAACAGGGATATATCAAAGTTTGATCATGTTTGTGGAAGCGTATCATGGCACAAACAATGGAGATCTCGGAAGACCTCAGAAAAAGTGTTGATGTTGCTCATCAGGCTGGAAAAGGTTACAAAACCATCTCTAAAGTGTCTGGATCTCACCTATCCACACTCAGACACACTGTGTACAAACAGAGGAAATTCAGGACCAATGTTACACTCCCCAGGAGTTCGTTGACCAACAAAGATCACTCTAAAAGTGAGATGTGTAATAGTCCGCAAGGTTGCAAAGGAACCCAGGGTAACCCAGGGTAGTCCATCATCAGGAGAACACTGAGCAACCATGATGTGCATGGCAAAGTTGCAAGGAGAAAGCCACTGCTCTCCAAAAAGAACATTGCTGCCCATCTGCAGTTTACTAAAGATCATGTGGACAAGCCCAAGACGGATGAGACCAAAATATAACTTTTTGGTTTAAATGAGAAGTGTTATGATTGGAGAGAAGAAAACACTGCATTCCAGCATAAGAAACTTATCCCATCTATGAAACGTGTGGTGGTAGTATCATGGTTTGGGCCTGTTTTGGAAAATGTCAGGACATCTATCTATGAACTGAGTCTCAAGAGAAAGTGGGTCATGCAGCAAGACAACAACCCCAAGCACACACGTTGTTTTATCAAAGAACAGCTAAAGAAGAACAAAGTTAATGTTTTGGAATGGCCGAGACAAAGTCCGGACCTTAATCCAATTGAAATGTTGTGGAAGGACCTGAAGCAAGCAGTTCATAGAAGGAAACCCACCAACATCACAGAGTTGAAGTGGCTCTGTACTGAGGAATGGGCTAACATTCCTACAAGATGTTGTGCAGGACTGATCAGCAGTTACAAGGAATGTTACCTGCAGTTATTGCTGCAAAAGGGGGTCACACCAGATACTGAAAGCATTCACATAAGCAATTCGCAAGATTCACATACTTTTGTCACATATCTAACACTGGATAATTTTTCTCAATAAATAAATGACAAAGCAAATATTTTTGTCTCATTTGTTTGATTGGATTCTCTGTCTACTTACAGGATATGTCTACTTTCAATATATATATATAAAGATTATGTTTTGGGTCATATTTATGCAGAAATATAGAACATTCTAAAGGGTTCACAAACTTTTGAGCAGCACTGTATATATTTCTCTCCTGATTCAAACAAGACACTTTTTCACTGGAGAAAGCAATATTTAGCTTTTGCTTCACAAGATGTTAATTGATGGACTGGAGTCATGTTCGATTACTTGTGGATTATTGTGATACTTTTATCAGCTACTTAAACTTTAATTTTAACGGCACCCATTCACTGCAGAGGATCAATTGGTGAGTGATGTAATGCTAAATTTCTCTAAATCTGTTCTGATAAAGAAACAAACTAATCTACATCTTGGATGGCCTGAGGGTGAGTACATTTTCAGCTATTTTTCATTTTTGGGTGAACTATTCCTTTAAAGACTGTGTATGCCAGACTGATTCGTTATTATGTGTTTGTAGCACTTAATATAAAATGCTGCTAGCGGGAGGATTTCTCAATTATACTAATTATTGTGTGAGCAGCAAAAAAAAAAAAAAAAGACTCAACCCAACTCCATCACAGTCCATACAGCGTATAGCTAAATAAAAACAGACTGTGTGATGATAAGGATGGATTACTGCAAAAGAAGTTTGGCATGCAGATGCGAGGGACTTCAACACTTCTAAAATAAACAACTAAGTAAATTAAAAATTTATATAATATTAATATCACGCTCTTATCGATGCCAATGAGTACCCTTCATAGTGCCATCGGTGGCTTGCGTGCCTAGGGTTGCAGACCTCTTGTCTGATCGTTGTCTGCGAGAGTTTGCTTGTAGCGTGTAAGAGGAAGATTACAGCTGCTTTACCTGATCCACTCCATTAGCTCCACAGTGTCTGGGTCATAAAACTCTCTCAGCTCAGAAATCTCCTCCATCAGTCTGGGCCAGAACTGTCAACAGAAAGACAGCGACTGAGATGGAGGGAGAGTGTGAGACTGCTGTAATGGGAATGACTCACAATAATCAATGATCAACAAAGCAGCCCAACAAACATCCAAATACACAAACATACAAACGCACAATTCATATCTGATTGCTCATTCCCGCATTGTGGAATCAGAACTCTCCTAAATAACACGCACAGTGTGATACGAATTCCATTTACGTGCACTAGGATTCCTGCGTGACTGTTTATGGCGTACAGTGACCCAGGCAGCTTAACAATATATGCAAATAGATACATGACAGCATAGTTGAAAATGTCTTACCTTGTAATAAAGAAATGCCAGTATTACAATAGGAACAGAGTACCTGATCAGTCTCATCTGTGGAAACAGATTAATAACATAAATGGATAAATAACCATATAAATGGGAAGAAACAGGACGTAATGGTTTAGGATCGAGGGCTTTAACTACATTGCCACCTAGTGGGGAAATGAAATGTTCAGCTGTGTGCACACTTGCACATTTATGCTGAAAAAAGAAAACCATTCCTTACTTGAAATTCAATATTAGTTAATAACATTGAGCATTACAGCTTCAAAATTACATTTGTATATAGCGATATGTGATAACCGTGGGCTTCCATACGTGCTGAATTTTATTATTAGACCCATGTTTTTTTGCTATTGCTTGTATTGAGTATAGAGGAGAGCAGGGTAAACTGGGTAAACTCTATTGTATCCTTAATCTACCAAACCTATTTGTTATATGAACATATAGAAGTGCACGGGAAACACAGTCAGTAAATTTGTAACATTACAAACAAAAATGTAAAAAAAAAAAACATTGCATATATTTTTGCTTATGTTGGTGAATCGGCAACATAGTCATGTGATAGTTGCTGGGAAGCAAAGTGTGGCTGATGCTTTGGGTAAGATACTGTGAGAAAGTTGTGAGCTTTGCAGCCAATGCAAGAAATATTATTAGAAAATGTTGAAAATTGCTGCACTAACTGCATTAAACTTACAAAAACGTTAAACTTTTTTATGAAAACATGTTTTGATTTAGGAAAAATGTTTTATGAAAATGTGAATAATATGCAGGGAGATAAGACTTGGAATTGGACTGTGCATTAGTAAGCGACTTTTATATGAAATGTAAATTATTCATGTGTTCCTCTCACATTACACAACATAGCCCTAACATGAGACAAGTTTCACTGGAAAACATTGCTTTTCATTAGACAGTCATATTTATACGGAATATATATCCTGAAATATGTTACTTCTTATTACTGTGCATGTTGTCTCATTTCTCCTTTTCTACAGCTCAGACCTTTCTACTCTACAATGCGTTTATGTGTGCATTCAAAAGTTTTGGGTAAGATTTTTTTTTGTTTGTTTTTATCGTTAGAAAACTTTTATTCAGCAAGGACACATTAAATTGACCAAAAGTGACAGTACAGACATTTCTATTACAAAATACTTATGTTTTAAATAAATGCTTTAGAACTTTCTACTCATCAAAGAAGTATTATTGATAATAATGAGAAATTTTACTTGAGCATCAAATCAGCATATTAGAATGAATTCTGAAGGATCATGTGACACTGTTGTAATGGCTGCCATCACAGAAATAAATTACGTAAGATATATTAAAATAGAACAGTTATTTTAAATTGTAATAATATTTCATTGCTGTTTTTACTCACATTTTCCAAACTTTTGAATGCTATTGCCAATATCTCTCATTTACAATGTATGTGTCTGCTAAATGACTAAATGTAAATGTAATGTAAATGTGTGTTTGTGTAACAGATCTCAGTGGCTCACCGTGGTTTTAGTGTTGCAGTGAAGGACCCTCAGATACAACGACCACACCTCCTTACCACACACCCCAAAGGCAGCGAAAGCACACATGTGGCCAGTCCACAAATATTTCATCCTGCCAGCAGCAAAGATAGAAATCTATCATAAAGCTCAGACAACAGACTGCAAACATGAAAGACTCGAACAGCATTCATTTTCAACTCTATTACTATTTCTGACACCAAACTCAACTTTATGAAGCTATATCGCAATGTTCTAGCATAATTCATTCATCATTAAAATCTCGAATGAACCGTCAACTTGGGATACGGACTAATAAGATGAAGAAGATCACAAATCAGAAGCGGTGTGGAGGACAGGAAATGAAAGTGGAAGCAGAAAAGAGGTTGAAATTGAGATGCACCATAGCAGCAGCAGCAGGGAATGAAATTACAGACGGTAGAGTGAGGAAAATACAGAAGGAAAATATTTGCATGGAGGGAAAGAGATACGTGGTATGAAAGCAACAACATTTTCCAATTTACAACTTGTTTACCTCATAGTGGAAAAGGCGAGCAGGCCGAAGAAGACGGTGTGCAAGAGATTGTAAGCGACGTCCGGACGCATCCTAAAGGTCCTGTCCTCTTTCTCCCTGCTTGCTTGGCCTGACCCATTCGTGCTGGGATGAAGAATTAGGAATCAAACAAGAATACTACCACACATTAAAACATATTAACAGCTGTATTATTCAGAGTTCAAGCGTGTGTGTGTTTTCTTAAAGTCTAGAAGGGTTAACAGCCTATCTGATTAGTGTGTGTGTGTGTGTGTGTGTGTGGTGCAAAGCCTCTGGGTGTTTATGGGCTCCTGTGATTCTGATAAGAAAAGAGAACAAAAAAGAGGGCCACAGCAGACCTTAAAGCAACAGCAAATCTGCTTTGAACTGAACATAATAACACATTTAAAAGCCCTAATGAAAAAAATACATCTAGTGTCCAATTATTGTGTAGCACATCTAATAAAGACTAATAACTCTAATTGTAAATTAGCATTATGACCTGTGGTGGACAAGGTGGTTATGAAGCTATAATCACTGCTCTGTTGGTCATTTTTTCAGCCTATTTTTGTGCTCTAATTAGAAAAATGAACATTATGAGAATATTTAAATTCCCAGATACACGTCTCGTTAACGTGTAGCATACGGCATGGTAGTGCGCCTGAGCATTTCCCACAGAGAGGAAGTGATGCGGTAGTTTTACCTGAGATTAGAGAGCGCCACCAGCAGCAGCAAGATGAAGAGCACACTGAGTGTGCACAGATACGGATAGAGCAGCACTGTGCCAGCCAACCGCTCAAATGTATCCAATGGCAACAAGCCAAAAGCCTCTTCGCACAGATAGAGACTGGCATCAAAGTCTCTGAAAGAAAGAGGCAGGGAGGTAGTGCGGGCGGCAGGATATATATTACACAGGTTATTGGGAGCAGCAATTCATCTGATCAACTGAAATGGCTTCATAAATATCTAGTAGATGAGCAGATTATATTGTGTGCCAGATGTTATTTTTCCACCAGAGCTGGACGCGGATTAATGGCTCGCTCTAGTCTTGGAGTAGATCTCACTTCTGAATAAGACACCACGATATGGCATTTGACTGATGATAAAAGGCTTAGATGTAGCGCCACAAGAAATGACCAAAGACTTACCTCGTTGCCCCGAAGCCAAACTTGGCCTTTATGAACTTAAAGATGTGCTCGTCGGATTTCAGCTGGAGTATTTTCTGTCAATTAAAATGGAGAGAGTGATGGATGAAATCATTCAAGTAAGTGTCTCATGAGATCGGGGATGTGGGTTTTTATGAGAGTGAGATATGAAGAAAGACAATGAGAGTGAAAGCAAAGCTAGTGTCTCAGGAGGAGATGGTAGAGAAGCTCTATTTTATCATTAATGACAGGGCAGACGATGTAGAACACGATTCATAGCTCACCTTGGCTGAATAATTGATGGTGAAAGTTAATGTGAGGACTAGGAGTGTGTGAAGAGCCAGTTTTCCTACTCGTATGACAAAGCCGCCCGTCTTTAGTCCCGTCTGAAAGCCACACATGCACACAGCAGGTATTAATAAATAAACTACAACACTATTCTTAGCCTCAGTTTTCAATCAAAATAGAACTGGGTGTTAGGGAACACAGATAAAGCTTGGGCAAGAAAACAAAAGTGATGAAGTGTCTCATGTAAACATTTTTTAGTCTAAAACGGATGGGATGCGTTTTCAGGAAATGTCTTTAAAGTAATTGCTTTCGGTTCATAGTGATGAGTGTGCCTACTGTACTTAGACATCGCCATCACATGGAACTGACCTAATACATCATTTATTTAGTTGCACTAGGCCTAATTCATTATACAGGAAATATCAATGAGCACATGGGACTATTAGGAGAAATGACATTAGTGAGCCTGTAACACACACACAAAAAAAAGATGCTTTACATCTAACTGCTTCACGTGTCATTTTTTCCATCTCACCACTAATTCAAATAAAGTAAACAAATTTGAAAACAGATTCTTTTTGATTTGTTTATTTGTTTATTTTTTATTTTTGGCAATTCAGAATACAATACTAGAGCTCACATCCCAGCAAGCACATATACAGCTCATCACTGAGATCATCTGGAAAGCATTGTGTTTACTTTAATCAGATTTGTGTACAAACATTTGATCATAATCTTTAAGGAGCATATTAACATATTCAGTACAGTCTAAACCATAAACCTTACAAGGAGATCTGCTTAATGTCATTCTAAGATCTGACTAAATGCTTTAGAGCAGGGGTGGCGAACGTCAGTCCTGGAGAGCCGCAGCCCTGCAGAGTTTTGCTTCAACCCTAATCAAACACACCTGAACAATCTAATCAAGGTCTGAAGGGTTACTAGAAAGCTACAGGCAGGTGAGTTTTAATTAGGGTTGGAGCTGAACTCTGCAGGGCTGCGGCTCTCCAGGACCGGAGTTCGCCACCGCTGCTTTAGAGACTACAGTATTGCAGATGAGCACGCTAAAAATTACACACCCTGAATGAAAACACACATATTGAATAGATAAATGCATATGGTATCTGGGATTTCATGTAACATATATGTTCTTAGAATCACAAAAAATGGTTTTATGCTCTTACTTTCCCAACTTAATGTGCACTGACCTGGAAGTGTTTGATGAAGAGGGCAGACACAATGAAGCTGAGCACCAGAGAGCCCAGAATCATAGAATTGCAGAACTGCAGTAACCACACCAATAACAGATTCAACACCTGCATCAGGTACAGAGAAACCACCTACAGGCAGAAAGAAATTAATATCCAACCTCACATGAACTTCAAAAGGTGGAAAGTTTCTCAAATGTGTCTTTGAGTGTTACCTGTTCCGCTGTGAGGAAGTCCAGACAATCCAGAGTAAAGATTATAAGGGCCTGCACCAGCAGGACAAACTGATTGAATTGCCATGTCAAACAGAAGCAGAAGGTGGAGACGAACACCAGCCACAGTACCACCCTCTGTGGTAGAAAGCACATGAACGCAAAACAATGTTCAATTCTAATCACCAAACATACAAAAACCTTGTTCTTTCTTCAGAGCTCATACAATGAGAATATTTCCAGTGATATACCATATGTCAGGAAAGCAATTAAGAGTCTGTGCTGAGAGAACATACTGAGAGAGAACAAATATGTGCTCGGCAGAGTAAATATTTCACACATACACTTGCAATTGCTAACCTCCATTTCATGTTTCATAAAACTATTTCACAACAGCAGCAAGCAGTCAGACATATTTATCACAACGTACTGTCTCATATTTTCTCAGTTCTTCAAGTCATATTTTCTTTTTTTCATTATTTGCCATTTTTCATTAATTTGCCTAATGAGTAAACAAAACTGACTGACTTATTTAACTGGATTACATTTATTTAAAGCTGAAGTTTGTCATTTTTCTGATTCTTTCTCCTATCTCATTCTAATACGGAGATAATGCAATGTAAGCCATTTTTAGATTCATTTCCCTGAAAATTGTAAACACTGTGGCTCTGTGGTGCTATCACAACGGTCCTGTCCCAAATGGCACCCTAAGCCCTCACAGTCTTCCTCAGAGCCCATACTTTTGTGATGTAATGCTGATTTGACTGTTGGGTAGAAATCTGCAGTGGAGCTCGCCTTAGACAAACGGGACACCCTACAGTTTTGGTGAACATGGGTAAATGGCGGCCACTGTGAGTCTGCAAGAGTACAAGTGCACATAAAGTGTGCCATTTGGGACAAGGCCAACATTTCACTGTTTGAGCATCCCAACCAGGGGTGCGTTTCCCAAAAGCAACTATGGTCGCAAGTTCCGTCGTTACCAAAAGATTTCAGTGGAACTAACTACCATAGTTAGCTAACGATGCTTTTGGGAAACGCACCCCAGCTTGACACAGCAACACTGTTTTAACCAATAGTTTGAATTTGGGGCAGGGTTATCTGTTTATCCAAATAACTGAAGGCAGAGGGAGTGTTCAGAAACATATTTTTCCATTTCCATTTGGTGACGCTGATGGCACAATTTTGGATCTAGCTCATGTCATCTGGTGACAGTAGTTCTCAAGTCAACAGTTCTTGAGAGTCAAATTTAACAAATGGTTGCAACATTTCCCAAAAACCCCATTACACTAGCTGAACTGAGAACAGTCTCGGACTTGGACATGTCTGCATTGCAGATATTTATTGAGTGAGCTGCTGAAATTATAGACCTTAGTCAGGGTAGTGGCATATTTAATTTTTGATAGAAATTAAAACAAGGCCGTGATGGCTAGAAGTATAATGTGTTCAATGGATTGCACTGTTGTTTAACAACATGTGAATTGTTCAGCTGATTGTTCCAAAAAAAAAAAAAAAAAACTCTGTAGACAAAACTGCATAAAGCAGTTTTAAAAGTTGTGAGTTGTGAAAAGTAGGGGGTGTACTGTAGGACCTCTATAGAGCATGTGCCATTGTAAAGACTATCGTCAGGTTTTACTAAAGACGCGCAGTGATGAATTAGCGCTGAAAAGGCGTGGACACAGTTATTTTTGCGCCTGACCTTATTGAATATGCATTTGTAGGAGTTTCCCTTTCAGACGCAAAATTTATGGGAGGAAAGTATTCAAATGAATCAGGCAACACGATTTACTAACGTTTATGCTCATCAAATTACTGGTATTTGCGCCATTATTTAACACCCAAATAAAGCCTGTCTTAAACTATTTTGCGCTTGAAATGGTTGCAATTATTGTTGCTAGGAGGCGGCACCGCAGAGAACAGAGAGCGCGTGGTAAAAGGGAGAGGATTTTTTCCACATGTATTAATTTATTTAGAAAGCAAGAAGAACATATTGTCCAAACATATCGTTTGCCAAATGCCAAGCCATGTTATTTTTAATTTGCTTCAAGAAATAAAAGACGACTTGGAATCCCCAACTAGGAGTCACGCACTACCATACCAGCTCTATCAAAAACTTCTTGCATACCTTAATTTTTTGGCCTCCGGTTCTTTTCAACGTACTGTGTCTTCTTTATTTCTTTATTCTTGATTTGTGACTACGCTAATTTGCGCTGCGCTTGGTATATTGCGTTGGTCGATATGTAAATGAGATGTTGCGTCTGTGTTCTTTAATTTGCGCATTGTTAATAAATAACCCGCAGAAATTTCCACGCCCATCGGCACTGTTTTGGAATTGCGCTCACGTGCTAATTTGCCCTGTTTAGTAAAACTGGCCCTATAAGTCTATCCCTCACATCCTGGTTTTCATCTGCATAAAATTCAGCATGGTGTCTAACCTAAGGTCTATGAGCATGCATGAACCAAAGACTTGAATGAGGGGGTGAAAGGTAAGTTTCTTTAAAAACAAATGCATAGTATATGCATTTATTTTATATATAAAATACATTATTTATTTAATAATATTTAAAATAAATATTATTTATTTATTTTTAAGCAATATTTATTGTGCCAACCCAAAGAGGCACAAAATCACTTTCACAGACTTTTAAATTAACTGTTCCCTCCTGGTGGAATGACCTGCCCAACTCAATCCGAGCAGATGAGTCCTTAGCCATCTTCAGGAATCGGCTAAAAATACATCTCTTCCATCTTTATTTGAGCCTCTAACTGTAGCACTCTTTATTCTAATTATATTCTTTATAAAAAAAAAACACTTTTAAGACTTGCACTATTCATTTGCTAACTGCTTGTATTATTAAAAAAAAAAACACTAGCTTCTCTAATCTTTTTGTATTCTATCTATTTGTTTATTTATTATACAATTAACAAAAGCAAAAAAAGGCCTCTACCACTAGCTTGCTCTATAATTTTTTTTATCACTAATCTGAATCTGAAATAGTAATGGAATAGACATCTAAATTGATCAGGATATAAGATTACCTGGTGAATAGGTTTTAGCTGTGGCCTTAAGTAGCAGGTTATGGCAGCCACCTGAAGAGCAAAGAAAGGTATTGACCAGTTCTCCCTTAGTGAGATGGTAAACTCCACGCGTGTGGTGTCCACTCTGCACACAAATCAAGCACAGAAAACACAAGCTTACGCTGTCAGAAAAGAAAACATAAGAAAAAAGTGAAAAGAGTTGTAAAAGTGTTATTTTTTCAATGCTACAGTATTTTCTACAATGTAGGAACAACTATAAATAAGCCATTCACAAGTTGATTTCCTACAACGTGTAAACTTTGTGGTGCAATCAAAACATTGTGCTGCTTGATTGAGCTTCCCAATCAGCTCAACAAATAGTCTGGCGTAGGAATGGATTGTTCCTTAAATATTAATACTGCTCCAGGGGGAACATCCTATCAGGTGCCTGTGCCTGTAGTACTGAATAAAAAGAGCTCTAAATGACAAATTTCATTTTAGTGCTGTCCTTGAGAGTTTCAATTCACATTTTGAGAAACATATCAGAATCGGCTAAAAATACATCTCTTCCATCTTTATTTGAGCCTCTAACTGTAGCACTCTTTATTCTAATTATATTCTTTATAAAAAAAAAACACTTTTAAGACTTGCACTATTCATTTGCTAACTGCTTGTATTATTAAAAAAAAAAACACTAGCTTCTCTAATCTTTTTGTATTCTATCTATTTGTTTATTTATTATACAATTAACAAAAGCAAAAAAAGGCCTCTACCACTAGCTTGCTCTATAATTTTTTTTATCACTAATCTGAATCTGAAATAGTAATGGAATAGACATCTAAATTGATCAGGATATAAGATTACCTGGTGAATAGGTTTTAGCTGTGGCCTTAAGTAGCAGGTTATGGCAGCCACCTGAAGAGCAAAGAAAGGTATTGACCAGTTCTCCCTTAGTGAGATGGTAAACTCCACGCGTGTGGTGTCCACTCTGCACACAAATCAAGCACAGAAAACACAAGCTTACGCTGTCAGAAAAGAAAACATAAGAAAAAAGTGAAAAGAGTTGTAAAAGTGTTATTTTTTCAATGCTACAGTATTTTCTACAATGTAGGAACAACTATAAATAAGCCATTCACAAGTTGATTTCCTACAATGTGTAAACTTTGTGGTGCAATCAAAACACTGTGCTGCTTGATTGAGCTTCCCAATCAGCTCAACAAATAGTCTGGCGTAGGAATGGATTGTTCCTTAAATATTAATACTGCTCCAGGGGGAACATCCTATCAGGTGCCTGTGCCTGTAGTACTGAATAAAAAGAGCCCTAAATGACAAATTTCATTTTAGTGCTGTCCTTGAGAGTTTCAATTCACATTTTGAGAAACATATCAGCTTTGACACTTACCTGAATTGAGATGCACACTGCATCATAACAAGCATCTATTTACACCAGATGGACTGCAAAGGTGAGTTTTGTGTGTATGAGAGACTGATTGTGCACACACACCTGTTGAGAATGTACCAGACTCCACTGAGGGCTCCAGCCAGCCATGAGTTACTGAGTAACCAACTAGTGATAAAGAGGGCGATGACATACACTGTCTGCAAAGCAAACGTGGTGCAATCAAAACACTGTGCTGCTTGATTGAGCTTCCCAATCAGCTCAACAAATAGTCTGGCGTAGGAATGGATTGTTCCTTAAATATTAATACTGCTCCAGGGGGAACATCCTATCAGGTGCCTGTGCCTGTAGTACTGAATAAAAAGAGCCCTAAATGACAAATTTCATTTTAGTGCTGTCCTTGAGAGTTTCAATTCACATTTTGAGAAACATATCGGCTTTGACACTTACCTGAATTGAGATGCACACTGCATCATAACAAGCATCTATTTACACCAGATGGACTGCAAAGGTGAGTTTTGTGTGTATGAGAGACTGATTGTGCACACACACCTGTTGAGAATGTACCAGACTCCACTGAGGGCTCCAGCCAGCCATGAGTCACTGAGTAACCAACTAGTGATAAAGAGGGCGATGACATACACTGTCTGCAAAGCAAACACTGTGTAGATGTAGAAATAAATTGGCTCCAAGTAGGTCTGCAAAACAAACAGACACACACATACATACACAATGGGAAAAATAAGCTGATTCTGCAAAAGCCCAAGAGAATCCATGCATCTTACAAAGAAAACAGAAGTGACTGAACACCTGGATGGGAAGTATTCTGTACAAAATGCTAAGGAACACTTCTTGGTAGATATTCATACGCTGTAGGATGTTTATTGTTCTCTTTGATTCAGTAGTGTTGTCATGAATTAGCTCATAAAGACCTGTGAACACAAGAACACACACAAACCCGGTAAACTTACAAAAAGTCAAAATTTGCACAAATAGACTTTGGGCCAGATTTACAACAGGGCAAATTAGTACGAGAGCGCAATTCCAAATCACCGCCGATGGGCGTGGAAATTTCTGCAGGTGATTTACTGACAACGTGCAAATTAAAGAACGCAGACGCAACATCTTATTTACATATCGGTCAACGCAATATACCAAGCGCAAATTAGTTAGTAAATCGCGTTGCATGATTCAGTTACTCCCATAAATTTTGCGCCCTGAAAGGAAAACTCCTACAAATGCATATTCAATAAGGTCAGGCGCAAAAAAAATAACTGTGCCCACGCCTTTTCAGCCCTAATTCTTCACTGTGCGTCTTAAGTAAATCCTGACAGTACTATTTTAACACCAATAGATGGTTTGCACTGGTGCAAGCTGTTAGTAAATCTGGCCCTTTGACTCTTATCACTTAGTATGAACTTAAACTGGTTAATTTGATGAATTATGTTATTTTGTAGTACTGCAGCTATGCAAGATTCGCTAAAATCAGAGCCGATCCTCCCTATACGCAAAATATGCAAGCTGCGTAGGGCCCCTGAAACACCAGGGGGCCCCCTTGCTCTCAAAGATGATTCTGTCTTCTGTCACATGATCCTTCAGAAATCATTCTAATATGCAGATTTAATGCTCAAGAAACATTTCCTATTATTATCAAATTTGAAAACAGTTGTGGTGCTTCATATTTTTGTTGAAACTATGATTAATTTTTTCATACATGTGTCCCTGCTAAATAATAAAAAAATTATAAAAGATTTTTATTTTCTTTAAAAAAAAACTTTTAAACAGTAGTGTACACTGATTTTTATTTAACCTTATTGTCTGTCTGTGTAGACAACAGTATGTAAATCACACAAAACAACTGATTGATCAGCAGCAGTGACAGTACTCTGCTTTAGACATACAATTATTTTTCTTTCCGTGTTTACTATGCTGCCTTACAAAGGAAAAGCACAATACCTACATCAACACTAAAATATAGAACATTTTATTTGGATACATTTTGACTGCTTTTAGTATCAGTCTCACAATCAGTTTTCTTTGAAACATAGTTGAGCCTAACCCATTTGTCATAGACAGATCATAGTCGAAGAGACTAGTATTTTGACAAAATGTGTAGCTACTATATTTTGCCTTTGTATAGCAGTATGGCTTAGATAACAATTAGAGCTCATTTGCAGGCAATGACACTTTGATTTGAAAGGGTTCCATTATTGTAAATGCAGGACAAAATTTCCACTAAATGGTATAATGGAAGTGGATTCCAAAATTAAACAACCTCAACCTACTTTATACTATCACATATAGTAGGCTACTACAGCTGTGACGTTTTACAGTAATCGATTTCTAAGATTGCTTAATAGAAAAACAATGCTCTTAACATGCTTTTACTCTACTATAAGTACAAAGGCCCAATTGTGGTGTGTAGAGAACAGCTTTTGGCACCGCTGCGGTTCTTACCATTTCAGTCTCAATGGGTAATGACCTAATTGTGATGTTTTCAGTGTAGAAGCACAAAGAGAATCCATTCCAAATGGGGCTGTTAGGCCAATTAGATTGAGCAAAGACCACTTAGAGCAAAGTTGTACATTTCCTCTATTTTCTGAGACCGGTCACACTGATATGGTTATGTAATGAAGCATTCCTTTGATAGCTCTCAGATTACATAAGTGATAACAGAAAGCAGACAAGAAACTTGGCATTTTGGACTGAGCTAAATAAACTAAAAGGGAAAAACACAAATGGAATCAAGCATGTACATATCTGAAAATTTCTTATAAGTAAAGATGGTAATGAAATAATACTTTCCTTAGCAGTGGATCCCAATCCTGGTCATGGAGAACCCCCAAAAGTGCATGTTTTTGATGCCTTTCTTATCTGACACACACTTTTGATGACTTGGAGTCTTTACTAATGAGCTGATACGTTGAATCAGGTGTGTTTGATTGGGGAAACATCTGTGCAGTGTTTGGGGTTCTCCAGGACCAGGATTGGGAACCACTGTCCTATAGGAGCAATATTTCTACATTTATTTATGCATTTAGAAGACGCTTTTATCCAAAGGCGACTTACAGTGCATTCAGGCTATACATTTTTTTACCAGTATGTGTGTTACCTGGGAATTGAACCCACAACCTTTTGCGCTGCTAACGCAATGCTCTACCACTGAGCCTCAGGAACACTTTTCTTTACATAAAAAGAAAACCCAAGGACTTTAACATCAGTGTTCCATCAGAAAGATGACATGACGCAAGAGTGATCGTATAACCTGTAAACCTGTCTTGTGAATTAGATTTCAGTACCTTGCTGTATAGAAGGCGCCTTCAACATCTGTTTGTAGTAGGAGTAATAAAGGCCACATTCTGTCCGGAAGGAGATTTCACGCTCGACTTCCTACAAATGCAAGAAGAGAGGATAAGATTCAGTAAAAATGAACTATGACAAGAAGCACAACAGGAGTAAATGGTGTTAAAATGAAATACATTTCCAATCTGAGAAAGAAATCAGAGCAGCTATCTGACCAGAATAAACAGAGATTTCATTCGCAATAAAAGCCTTGAGGAAGAAAAAAAAAACAGGTTTTGTAAATATGGTGGAGTTTTATAGTGGAAGTGGTTTTCAGACAAAAAGATCCATATGCTCCACAAAGATTAGAGTCATATGAAATTTGGTTTGAGAAGACGACACTTTTATTTTTCTTCATAAAACAGCTTTAACGCTCTTTTTTTTCAGAAAAACTCAAATACAAAGAGGCAATTTTAAGATATAAAAGTATAAAAAAACAGAAAGCAACAATAACAATGGAAGATAACACAACGAGAACTGGTTGAAAAGAAAATGACCTAATGACCAAGTCTACTACTCCTGATACAAAGAGCGCACATTTACATTCACATTCACTTTGTTTAACAATGTTTCTTAGCAACATTCTTGCAAACAAAAATGGAGACAGATTCTTCTTCGGCTTACCTTTAACTGTGAAAACCACAGCAGGTTTTCGTGTATAGAATAAACACACCATGCATGAAACAGCCCAATAGCCCCTGCCAACAGTAATCCTGCTGCTATGACAGCAGCCGGCCAACAGTTTTGTCCTGGAATGTGATTCCATGAAAGCTTTACACTCTCTTCTGTGCCCCTCTGCCCACTCTTGTACTCCCTCGGATTGTCTTTCCCCCCAAAGTTTAGCAAAGGTGGTCTATCCTGGGCGGCCCCTGAGTTATCATCCAAATTGCTATTCCTCTTGCGACGAACCTTCATTCTCAAGGATTATTATCCTCCGTCTTCCCTGTCTTTCCTGAAGGTTCCTCTGTCTTTCTCTGTTTGAGACTGCAAGCTCTTTTGTTTATCGGTCTTTCCAGAGTTACTTGCCCAAAAACTTCATAGCACACGTATTAAAACAATAAAACAAAACCTCATGAGATCATTCTAAGCTCCGGTCGGGAACCTTCATTCTCAAGGATTATTATCCTCCGTCTTCCCTGTCTTTCCTGAAGGTTCCTCTGTCTTTCTCTGTTTGAGACTGCAAGCTCTTTTGTTTATCGGTCTTTCCAGAGTTACTTGCCCAAAAACTTCATAGCACACGTATTAAAACAATAAAACAAAACCTCATGAGATCATTCTAAGCTCCAGTCGGCACCAAACAGCAATCTGCCGGAGGAACATTTTACATGTGATCAGAGAGAGGGGCTGAGACAGGAAGGAAGGCATGTGGGCCGCACAACTGTGACCTCTTGGTAGTCAAGGGGAAAAAACATAAAAAGATGGGGGGGAAAAAACGCTTGGAACATCATTTAGAAAAAAAAATTAAGAACATTCGTAAAAACATTCATAAGAACATTCGTGAACTAACAATAGAATGACATCCAGTTTGAAATTAAGACTGTGTGGCGCTATAACCGACATGGACATGACTTCACACGCAATGAATTTAAAAGCGTCCCAAATGCAGCTGTCTGCCGCTTTAGGGTGGTGTCCCAGAAGAGGAACATACTGGACTTCAAATGCCTTTGTTCAAAAATAATGGCAATATCGTCATTTACGAAGCTAAGTATACTGGAAAACCAACTCCTGCTGAGAACATTTACACAGCGCCTCTGTGAAATGTACTGCTGTTTCCCATTGAAAGAGTGGAAACGATTAGAAAAACAATGTGGAATCCGTCTGCGCTTCTAATGGAGCTTTCTGCTGCAACATTTGATTAGCTGTTAACCAGTGGACATTCCCACAGCTCTCCCTCTGAAACAGAACAGGTGATTCATTTGCCTGCAAATAAAGCACAATCAAATGCTCGCTCAGTCATGGAGGCGTTTTTTATCCGGAGAATGAAAGAAACACATGGGGACAGAAACTGTGGTCATCCATTCACAGTCATCATTCCAGTCACGTTCAGAAAAGCAAAAGTACAGATAAAAGTAAGATGACTCATAAGCAAGCAGTAAAATACCAGCCAGCATGCATGAGCTTCCTTTTTCCACTGCTGTCACACGCTGACTTCATTTTAAACTTGAGATGACCTTTTTGTGCTCTCCATTCCACATGCTAAAACATTTTTTGAATAGGACTCTAATATGTCCATTGGTTACTTTTACAGCAATGTCCCCTTATCTGCAACCCATTTTGTCTTAGACCCTCTACTAACAATCTGAACCTGGTGCATTTATTTAGCGATAAAGCCCTCCAAAAATTGGGTTTGGAACCATTAGTTTACCCTGTCCACTTTATGTTGCATCTTTAACCTAGATGAAAAATGCAACATACTGTAATCAGGGGGCTAGTCCAGGATACAGTAATTATTCAACATGTTCTTTAGACTATTAAGTATGCCTGAAAGCATACAAAATAAAGACATTGCAAGTCTAAAAATACCCTGCCAACACATTGAGAAAAAAGCACTCTTATCTGGTGTTATGAAGTGTGGTGCATATTCAATTTTGTGAGATACATTATGTTCTGAGAAACAAAATAATCTGAGGACAAAATGTTCAAAGCTCACATGAAAGCAGCACAGGTTTGGCTCTTGTTAGATTCACTAAATGAAAACTAGGCCTTGGTTCCAACAAAAGATGCAAGTCACACACACACACACACACACACAGACACTTGCTCTCAAACTGCATTGCACAATAAATAAATAAATACATAAACTAAACTAACCCTATTGCAAAACCGGCGGCAGTAAATCTTGCACTGATTGGGAGATGTGGTTAAACTACTCCTGATCTGTATTATTTTAATGAGCGAACTGGGATACGGGGACATGCTGATTTATCCAACTGAACATGACATAACTTTTTTGGCATGGTGGTTTCATCTTTTTTCAGGTCTGGAAGTCATAACACGATCTGCAGCCCAAACTCTGGCTAACTGTTTATGTGCCTGTTACGCCACAGAGGGAAAGAAAAATAATCTGTCAGCACATATGGAAAACAATTCCTTTTCAAGAGGAAATGCATGAAAAATGAGACAGACGAGAACACCATCACTGACGAAATGCAAGCACACATTATGAATCTAGATCTCTTGAGCTGTTGTTTACATTAGGAACATAGCCTAAGAACACTAAAAATCCTTCAAAGCCTGAAAAGAAAATGAATCACAATGGAAGGTTGTCTCCCTGAGTCTCTGGATATTCACTGTTTCAGGACACTTAACATAAAAAAGCTCTGGACTTTACCTTTATATTGGAGAACCAGAGGTCATTTTCATGAAGTGTAGCCACATAGATGCAGCACAGCAAGCCCAGACTAATTCCCACTATTGAGCCAGTCATTACACACAAGATTGTCCACCATGAGAAACCACCTGGAGAGAATGACAACAATATTACCCAGACCATAATATTAAACAATAAACATGGTAAACAGGAGTAGAGACATGCACAGAGATCTATGATTAAAATTATATGACAATTTATGTATAAAAATCAGTGTTTTGAATCTGACATGTGATCAAACTTTAAATACTTTGTATGTTGATATTCATATCTCAAGGTTCTGGCATGATCTTAAAGTGATACTCCAACCAAAAATGAAAAATTAATTTATCATGTTGTCCTAGGTTTATGTGACTTTTTTTTTTTTAAAGATGAACACAAATTAAGTTTTTTAGAAAAACTATCGATCTCCGAGTCCATATAGCTAAAGCTTAAAAAAAATACTTAAAGTGAATACGACGGTTACCCATATGAAATTTCTACTAAAGTAAAGTGGTAAGTGTGTGTGAGAAAAATAACTGTCATACCCATGTTCATGAGTTCATGCTTGACTTAAACATCAGCCATTTGTGAAAAGTCACATATGCTCGTACAACAAAGGACCCTTTTTATAGACTGTGATAATGCGTTTCGATGGTCATCAGCATCATGAAGCTTTTTTTCATATTTTCATTTTTTTTTTTAATATATGTACATTTTTAACACTACACTTTGTATTATATCACCTTTGCATGAAATTACAAAGAAAAAAATAGTTAACAGCTTTGAGGGTGTTTCTAATGGAGCGGCTATGGAAGTGACAGTAAATTTGACATTGTTCTCTCTTCTGACAGCCATAATCAATTTCTCTCTATTCTTTTCCTTTTTTAATACAGTCATGAAAACCCTCTTGTGGATTTTTTTTCTTTTACTATTAGAGTAAATAGTAATGCAAAAAATATATTTGATGTAGTGTTCAAATTCACCACTATGAACGCTTATCCAAATATGACAACTTCCGCTCCTGAGAAACCTGGAAATGTGAAAAGAATCCAGTGACAGTCCTCTGTGCTTCCGCATTACTTCTTGTGTGAGTTCCACACACATGCTTACGGCACGCTTCACAACATGTTGACATTTTTTTCAGTTTTGGGTGAACTATGCCTTTAAATTCAATGGTATCTACTTTTGCAACAAACAGCACTGACCTGTTGCAAACCTCTCTCTGGGTTCAGCTGTACAATCAGGCTTCAGGTTCTGAACGCTGGGCCCCGGGTCCTTCCCTCTACTGCCCTTCCTCTGCCTGAGGGCAGTCATACTGGAAAACAGGCCTCCAGTCCTGGCAAAATATATGTTCAATAACAATGACAAAACCCATGTATACAAATCATATAGATTGATAGATAGATAGATAGATAGATGCATGTGTGACCCTGTCTGTGAAATCCAGGCTAAAGTATCAAAATCTAATGAGATAGCAAGCATCAAAGTTTGATTTTCAACTATCAATTTCACAATGATTTGAATCTTTGACATGGCCTTACTTCGTCAATATTAAATATATCAAGGTTACATTTTCGCATAATGTATGGCAAACCTGCGGTACTGAAAATACTGTTGTTTGAAAGTACTGATATGTACGAAGAAAAAAAAAAAAGCACACATTTAAAATTCATTTTTTTCTAAATCTTGTATACACTAAATGTATAATGTATAAAATGTATAAATTTCCACATAATTACTGCATAAACATAGCCATATCTAATCATGTTTGTTGGATGTAGTCATGTGATTTTCTTCAGACCCAAGCTTGGTTATATTACATGCAGTGTTGGGGAGAGAGTTATATAATTTAATTACAAAATAAATGTAACTGTAATCTGTTACAGTTACTGAGAAAAAAATGTGATTAAATCACAGTTACTTATAAAAACACACACACACACAGATTTATTTCCCAAATTGCATTGACTACTCCAAAATATGAAACACCAATGTGTCAGTGGTTTATGACACAGAATAGGACACATGCTTATTTGATAACTGCTTTATTACCTATTTGGGTTTATGTATGCCTATATGCTATATTTTTTTAAGATGAACTGTTTTTTTTTCCAAGGTATTGTAGATGTCAGTGTTTCCTGCCATAGCTATGCAAAACAGTTTGTGGTGTGCCTTGAAATTAAATTATTATAATCAATTCAAGTAATGAAGGATTTTGAAAGTCTAACAGTAGTACTGTAAGGTTAACTCTGCTTTAAATGTTTGAAAATGAATAACAATTGAAAACTTTCATTTGGAAAAGTAATCAAAAAGTAACCAAATGTACTTTAATAAAGTAATTGAACTAAAAAAAAAAAGCACACATTTAAAATTCATTTTTTTCTAAATCTTGTATACACTAAATGTATAATGTATAAAATGTATAAATTTCCACATAATTACTGCATAAACATAGCCATATCTAATCATGTTTGTTGGATGTAGTCATGTGATTTTCTTCAGACCCAAGCTTGGTTATATTACATGCAGTGTTGGGGAGAGAGTTATATAATTTAATTACAAAATAAATGTAACTGTAATCTGTTACAGTTACTGAGAAAAAAATGTGATTAAATCACAGTTACTTATAAAAACACACACACACACAGATTTGATTTATTTCCCAAATTGCATTGACTACTCCAAAATATGAAACACCAATGTGTCAGCGGTTTATGACACAGAATAGGACACATGCTTATTTGATAACTGCTTTATTACCTATTTGGGTTTATGTATGCCTATATGCTATATTTTTTTAAGATGAACTGTTTTTTTCCAAGGTATTGTAGATGTCAGTGTTTCCTGCCATGGCTATGCAAAACAGTTTGTGGTGTGCTTTGAAATTAAATTATTATAATCAATTCAAGTAATGAAGGATTTTGAAAGTCTAACAGTAGTACTGTAAGGTTAACCCTGCTTTAAATGTTTGAAAATGAATAACAATTGAAAACTTTCATTTGGAAAAGTAATCAAAAAGTAACCAAATGTACTTTAATAAAGTAATTGAACTAGTGAAATAGCTACATTTTAAATAGGGTAACTTGTAATCTGTAACCTATTACATTTCCAAAGTAACCTTCCTAACACAGTTTTTTTTTTTTTTTTAATTGTTTGATATATCACCCTGACTAGAATGTAACTATGTAATAGTGTAACTATGTTATTGCCTAATATTAATTGAGAATCTACATTAATAGTCCTTCCCTCTACTGCCCTTCCTCTGCCTGAGGGCAGTCATACTGGAAAACAGGCCTCCAGTCCTGGCAAAATATATGTTCAATAACAATGACAAAACCCATGTATACAAATCATATAGATTGATAGATAGATAGATAGATAGATGCATGTGTGACCCTGTCTGTGAAATCCAGGCTAAAGTATCAAAATCTAATGAGATAGCAAGCATCAAAGTTTGATTTTCAACTATCAATTTCACAATGATTTGAATCTTTGACATGGCCTTACTTCGTCAATATTAAATATATCAAGGTTACATTTTCGCATAATGTATGGCAATGTATGGCAAACCTGCGGTACTGAAAATACTGTTGTTTGAAAGTACTGATATGTACGAAGAACACACACTTTTAAGACACCCCAAGTTAATTAGAGAGTCAGGAATTCGCACCCTGGTTTGGGGTAAGTTATTACAGCTATGATGAGATAATACCGAAGTCCACATGAAAACATAATACACCTGTTTCTTCCTGCATGTTAACAGTGTGATGTACGTGTAACTTCATCAGCAAGCAATTAACAAAGATCATTAAAACCCGCCTCTTTTGCGGTGTTGACAAACACTTCGATAGGATACAACGATCCATTCCCGTTATACCGGAAACACTAGAGCTAACGGTGTCAAAATGTCTCCATTCACGTTACTTTATGACACTTTCGCGAACTACGGGCAAGTTCAACAGCCGGAGAGCGTCCGCGACAAACAAAAGAGCGCACTCGTGGTTATGATAGCAAGGACCGCGAAACAAAACAATAAAGCATCGCGACGCGCTTATTTCATTCATTCGTTCATTCATTCATCGGCAGGCCTGTGTTTTGCAGCGGCGTTTCCTGCGCACAGCTCAGCAACAATGCCAGGAGATCTCAGATCGCATCAGCCGCTGATCTCGTTCTCCGGCTAGGGGACAGGACAGGCAGACAGCTGCCTGCTGCCTCGCCTCGCTCGTTCCCCGTCCCATTCACTCAATGTAAAACGATGCACATTAATACGCGCTAATACATTCGCGTCTCTCACCCTGTTCAGTGACGCTCGTAGTTCCTTATCGGAATCGGATGTCCGGTAGCTCCTCCCTCACGGACAGTCGCGTTCAGCCTGCGAGCGGAGCGGCGCGGCGCATGAAAACAAACCTCTTCTCCATACAATTAACATGAATAAATATCAAGACAGAACATTAAACCGACTAGCAGTTCGTTAAATCAGAGCCGTGTTGTTGTTCCTCCGCAGCACACCGCGGCGTGGAGAAATGAAGGAGCAGTCATCCACTATCACATCCAGCGCCTCTCCCTCCTGAGAGACTCGCACCTCTGAGTCTCAGTACCTGTTGAACACCTGTGACCTGCCCCGGGACGCATGGTCACGGCACCCATAACGGCCAATAGCTCTGGATCATTTATATGGTAACTGTGCTAAAGTAGGCTACGGCACGGAATTATTTGCTAATGGTGATGAAAACAATTTAAAGTCCTTTTTTAACGTTGCTTATATTTTCTGTCGCAGTAAGGACAAAAACATTCTTTCACGCATGTTGTAATAATTTTTCGTTTATTCCAGTTTAAGTCAGTCCTATATTAGTTAGGTCCAATTAGCAGTGCAAGAGAAACGAAATAGGTATAGGCCTGATACACTGAATGTGTGACATGCACAAAATAATTTTATCAAACATTTCAACAGATTAAGCTGAAAATCAGCTGACTGCAAGCATCCCTCATTAATTTAATGAAGTGAGCATTGGATTTGTCAATATATGTAATATTTGACAGTACAGTGACAGGTAAAAAAAAAAAGCACACATTTAAAATTCATTTTTTTCTAAATCTTGTATACACTAAATGTATAATGTATAAAATGTATAAATTTCCACATAATTACTGCATAAACATAGCCATATCTAATCATGTTTGTTGGATGTAGTCATGTGATTTTCTTCAGACCCAAGCTTGGTTATATTACATGCAGTGTTGGGGAGAGAGTTATATAATTTAATTACAAAATAAATGTAACTGTAATCTGTTACAGTTACTGAGAAAAAAATGTGATTAAATCACAGTTACTTATAAAAACACACACACACACAGATTTGATTTATTTCCCAAATTGCATTGACTACTCCAAAATATGAAACACCAATGTGTCAGTGGTTTATGACACAGAATAGGACACATGCTTATTTGATAACTGCTTTATTACCTATTTGGGTTTATGTATGCCTATATGCTATATTTTTTTAAGATGAACTGTTTTTTTCTAAGGCATTGTTAGATTCCAGTGTTTCCTGTCATAGCTATGCAA